CTCCCTCTCTCCCTTCCTCCTTATTTCCTTCCTTCTTCCATTCTCCCTTGCTTCCTCCTTCCCTTCCCCTCCTCCATCTCCCCCCTCCCTCCCTCCCCTCTTTCCTTCCCTCTCTTTCTTCCCCTCCTCCCTTCCTCCCTTCCTTCCTTCCTTATATGTATATCGAGAATGATGCTGTATTCTAGACACTGCAGATACAAAGATGAAATAACGCATACGTGGAACTTACTTAATAGCTGGGAAAGAAGAACAAGATACAGTAAACAATAGTTTGCTCACTATAATTTTGGATAAGTGCTCTGAGCAAATAAACCTGGAGTGCTAGGGAGATTGGGACTGGAGGCTAGTTTCTGATAGAATCACAGAAGCCAGAGTGATAAGGGCTGGGATGAAGTCAGGCCCTGGGATAGGGAGGTGTTAGGACTAAGGTTAGGGTCAGCGGTGAGTGAGTGACAGAGTTATACTCTCAGCAGATAGCATTTGGGACCCAGGGAGAGTGAGGTGAGAGTCACGTTCCTATCCCCTTTTCCTGGACCTGCCCTCCCAGGGACACCTCCTGCCAACCAGGAAGCACCAGCCCTGGTTTCCTCCCTGGTGGCACCCTTCTATCACCATCGAATCGAGGGAAGGTCACACAATGGCCAGGCCAAGTTAGAGCCAAAGGGGACTGGGATTCTGAGATGAAGAGAAGGTTCCAATAGTTCCAGGCTGGATGAGGACTGGGGTTGAGCCTGCACCTCAGGTTTAGTTTAGGGATGGGCCTGTGGCTGGAGTTAGGGATTGAAATGATCTTTTCAAGACCCAAATCTACTGGCATCACCCCCTCCCCCACCAAACCTGCTCAAGCCTGGCAGGGGCCCTTCCTTGCCATGGACTACTTGGTTCACCTCAGTCCTCACCACATGCCCCCTTGCTGTCTTCTGTCTGGGACGACATGCCTTTCATTCATCCATCTGCAGACACTAACTGAGCTCCTACTGTGTGTCCGGCATCATGTCAGGCCCTGAGAATACAGCAGAACCAGAGCAAACCCATGTAGCCATAGAGCTTTCATTCTAGGGAGGGAAGCAGGCAATATTACCTAATAACCAAACACTTTATATAGCACGTGAAATAGGTGGCAAGTGCTGAAGAGAAATAATAAAGCAGGGAAGGGGATAATAAAGCATAGGGGAGAAAATTTTAGATACAGAGTGGCGGGGGAAGAGCACCTTGGAAAGAGGATTTTTCAATAAAGACCTGAAGGAAGTGAGGTCAGTTTTTTCCCACCCCAGGACCTTTGTACATGCTGTTCCCTGTCTACCTCTTAAAACCGATTAATTCTTCCTCTTCCTTCTGATCTTAGCTCAATAATTGCTTTATTCAAGGAAGGCCAAATTTAACTATAAATGACTCTTACAGCATTATTGCCAACATCTTTGATATCCAATTTCCCTAATTTGGGATGGTTTTCTCCATATCTCCTAGCATAGTACCTGGTACTTGGGAGATCCTCAAAACATGACTGGATACGTTAGTAATAAAAACAAGGTCAGGGTTGGGGATTGAATCAATAATGGATTTGGAATTAGGCTGAAGATTCAGAGAGAAGAGCTGGGCTGGGCTAAGCGTGAGGGGAGGGGTAAAGAGTGATGAAAGGAAGGGGGAGAGGCTGAGGGGATGGAGGGAGGAGAGGGGAGAAAGTTGAGTTTGCACCCTTTGGGTGCAGGGCTGGCAGTCCTGAGCTAAAGACAGGAGCTGTCAGGCTAAATCTCCTTCTTGGGCTCTGCTCAACAGCCCAGGTGACTCCTGGAGGATGCTGGGAGCCTGAAGATGCAAATTTGCTTTTTTTTTTTTTGGTCTGGATCTCATGACTTACCACAGCATTGACCTCTGAGCTCTGGCAATACTTTCACCTCAGTTGCCTGAGTTGCTGGGACTACAGGCACACTCCACCATGCCTGGCTATTTTTTTGATTTTTTTTTTTTTTTTTTTTGAGTAGGAGTCTCACTCTGTCACCCAGACTGGAGTGCAGTGGCTGCTCCCGGCCACCGCAGCCTCGACCTGCTTGGCTCCAGCGATCCTTTCGCCTCAGCCTTCCGAGTAGCCGGAATTACAGGCATGCGCTACCACACCCGGCTGATTTTTTGATTTATTGTGGAGATAAGGTCTCGCCAAGTTGCCCAGGTGGGTCTCGAACTAGGCAATCCACTCACCTCAGCTTCCCAAAGGTGCGGGATTACAGGCTGAGCCACCGAGCCCGGCTTTTTTTGATTTTTTGAAGAGAAAAGGTCTTCCTATTTTGCCCAGGTTGGTCTTGAACTCCTGGCCTCAAGCAATCCTTCCGTCTCAGCCTCCCAAAGTGCTGGAATTATAGGTGTAAGCCACCATACCTGGCCTCAAATTTTCATCTTAAGGTGCAGATAATATGCAAACTTTCCCAGCCTTCAGCTTTCTAGCCACTCTCCTTCGCCTTGTGCCCCCAGGGGGCTGCTAAGGCTTGGTGAGGAGCAGGGTGGTGAAGTGGATAAACTGCCCTGCTAGGCCCCTCAGGGATGCAGGGCCCTGGGTCATTGGGGGTCAGAGGCCCAAGCTTAACCTTTGTAATCTAGTAGTAAGACCACTCTTCCTGAAAGTGAGGAAGAGGAGGAGGAAGAAGAGGCAAAGACAGATAGGTGGCCTGGAAGATGGGGTGGAAGAGGGCTTTGGGTGGAAGTAGAGAAGGGGTTGAGGTATAAAAGAGAATGGGTGTGACTACAAGCAATGAGATCCACCTCTGTCCCTCAAAGGCTGCCTCCTCAAGCCATCATCCACTATCAATGTCTCTCCCCCAATCCCCCTTCCAAAAAAGCAGGAGTGGTGGCCCTGGGTTTGCTTGGGGCTCAAGTCTGGAGTGGGAATTAGGTTCCCGAGGGACATAGAGATGGAGGTGGGGATGGTGGGGATGAGAACGTGGCTGGGGCCCGGGGCATGGATGGGATTAGGCATGAGGATGTAGATGGGGCACTCCCCAGCTGTGACCAAAACGGGGATGCATGACTCTTGGTAGGTGCTCATTGGGCTGAAGAACTGGTTCTCCTGGACCAGGGGTGGGACCCAGAGAGCAGGAGAGGCTCCTGCGAAGGATGCAAGCTCGTTGGGGTGGCTCACTAGGGGCCACCCACACAGGAAGCCAAGTCCTCACTGTTGGGGCATCCCCCCTGGCCGCACCCCAAGCCCTGCAAAGCAAGGAGCGACTCCTAGGGCCCTGCCCCCCTGAGACACAGAGAAAAAACCTAATCAGGTCACTGCTTAAAATTTACCAGAGCTAAGCCAGGTTCGGTGGCTCAGCCTGTAATCCCGCACCTTTGGGAGGCTGAGGTGAGTGGATTGCCTGAGCCTGTGGGTTCGAGACCCGCCTGGGCAGCGAGACCTCATCTCTACAATAAATCAAAAAATCAGCCGGGCGTGGTAGCACATGCCTGTAATTCCGGCTACTCGGAAGGCTGAGGAGGAAGGATCACTGGAGCCCAGCAGGTCAAGGCTGCAGTGGCTGGGAACGGTCACTGCACTCCAGTCTGGGCGGCAGAGTGAGACTCCAACTCAAAAAAAAAAAAAAAATTTACCAGAGCTTAAAGTGATGCTGTCCTTAGAATCAAATCCAAGAACTTACCCTGGACTATAAGACCCCTTCTTCCAGCCATTCTGGCCTTCTCTCTGCTCCCTGGACATGTGTCCTTCAGGGCCCTTGCACTTGCCCTGTCCTTGGTTTGCAACACTTTTTCCCCAAGCTGTTTCAAGAGTGTTTTGTTCTTGTCACCGTCCTCAGATATACCCCCGGACCATTGTACTTAATGTTTCCCCACCCTCCACCTCCCCCGCCCCATCATGCCAGCCCACCATCTGGTTGTATCTCTGACTGCCCTTGCCACCATCTGAAAGGATGTTTATATGTGTATTGATGTACTTGTAGTCCATCTTTCCATTGCCTGTAAGTCACGGAAGCAGAAGTCATGCCTGGGGAGTTCACATCTGCTTCCCTGAAGCCCAGAACACTGTCTCAGGAGACAAGAGCTATGAGGCAACCTGATCCTAGAACCTCAGCGCTGGAAGGGACTTTCTGGGTCTACTCATCTCACCCATTTATATAAAAGATTTGGGCCACTGAAGTGGAAGAACTTGCCCAAGGCCTGCTGAGGAAAGAGGGCTAGGGTGCTTCTCACTGTACCAGTTGGCTCTCTAGATTGACCAAAAACCTTGGCGGGGGCGGGGTAGAGTGCAAGCTGGAGAAAGCCCCCTATCTCACAGGGTTGATCCAGCAGCTTGATGTGATCTCCCTCCCCATGTTATACCCCTAGGGGTGCTCAGAGTCAGGGCAAAAGTCTCATGTGTGTGGTTACTGTAAAAGTACATTAATGGGAGATACATTCAATATTATAGTAAACTAGAACTTTTCCATTTATTTCTGACCTTGGTATAGTATCATAAATTGTTCAGCACACTGTTTAAATTTAATCATCACTTAAAAGTTTATTTTACCATTCTATATGTATAAGTTTAGAAATTTCCATTTTTTGTTATATATATTTTAACTGTTTATATATCAAATGATAATAAAATCATTATTATTAGTTGCCCTTAAAAAAAAAAGAAGAAGAAGTTCCATGTGTGGCTAGGTGTGTCTGCCCAGTAAACCTTCCTCCAAGCTGGCTTTCTGGGAAACCGGATCCCAGTGATCCACCCTGTTCCCTCCCTCTCCGGCTTGGGGGCATTTTTAAGGATGAGCATGCCTTCTAATACTACCTTTGTGGAGGCCTGGAAGAGTTTGTTCTCTTGGGGAACAGGGTGGTTGAGCATGGCCTGACCCTTTCTCTCTGCTGGTTCCAAGTCAAGGCCAAGGTTAAAAGGACCCGCACTTCCCACCACAAGGGGGAGCCTCTGGGCGTTTCTTAGACCTTTGCTTTTGCTCTAAGGGGAACAAAACTTTTGGCTAAGTTCTTAGGTTGAGATCTGCATGTGAGATATTCCCAACACACCTCTTTGTACACAATGGCATTAGAAGCCTCTTCTTCCAGGATCACAGATGCAGAAAGTGACAATCCAACAGCCAAAGACAACCTCCTCTACCACACACACACACACACACACACACACACACACACACACACACACACGAGCAAAGGGAGAAGAGACTTGGTTGAGCAGGGAGAAGATTCTTGGGTTGGAAGAAAATGAGGAAAGGCCAGGTGTGGTGGCTTATGCCTATCACCCCAGCACTTTGGGAGGGCGAGGTGAGAGGATTGCCTGTGCCCATGGGTTAGAGACCAGCCTGGGTAACTTAGTGAGACCTCATTTCTACAATAAACAACCAAAAACTTTAGCCAGGTATGGTGGCACATGCCTGTAGTTTCAGCTACTTGGAAGGCTGAGGCAGAAGGATCACCTGAGTCCAGCAGGATCACCAGGCAGAAGGATCACCTGAGTCCTGCGATGGCCGAGCTTGGGTGACACTCCAATTCAAAAAAAAAAGAAGGGAAGAGAATGAGGGAAAGGGCTGGGCAGTGTTTTTTCCTGGATCTGTGGGACAGTGGCTGCTCCAAAATTTCAACATAGCAGGGGCTTTGGGATGGCAATTTAGCTAGGGAGGAAATGTGGTTAGGTGTGGAACTGTTTGTGGAACTGTGGATGCACTGCAAACATCTTTTGTTTTCTTAGACGCTAGCAGCCCAGTCCAAGTGGGGAAGCTGCCCGATCCCCACTGACTGGAAGAATGAACAGTGATGGTCTACACTGAGACATTCTGCAACCTGCAGCCAGCACGGCCCTCAGCTTGTGAGGCTCTAGATGGGTCACTGGTTAGCCTGACACTAAAGCCATCTGATTCCCTGGCCACATCACAGGGACAGAGGAAAATTTAACCCTGCCATTGTCCAAAGATAGTGTAACTCTGGACAGAGAGGGGCTATGACCAGGGTTGGGCCAGGCACAGAATTTGCCTCAGGTGGCAGAGGAGTTGAGGTGGGCTGGAACTGAGGTCTAGGGAAGCAGGGACTCAGGAAGGTGTTGGGTGGCTGTCAAGTGAGAAGACAGGGAGGACCAACGTGAGAGTTGCAAAAGTCTTTGTTCTGAAGATTGTGGAGCTGGGAGGGAGAAAATCATACTCCCCAGATTACCATCCAGCTGGTCAAGATAGGCTAGATTATGCCACAAGAAACCCCTGTCAATGGCTTTACCCGACAAAAGTTTATTTCTCGCTCAGGTCCCTGTTCAACTCAGTCAGCAGGGCCCTCTGCTCTAGTCTCTCAGATACACAAGAAAGTGCCATCTCAGAATAGAGAGGCAGAAAGAAGAGAACTCTGGGGTCTCCACACCAGCTTGGAGATGACCTGCATCACGTGTACTCAGAATTCAGCCAAAGCTCATCTTGTGACTCCACCCATCCACAAGGGACCAGAGGTTGAGTCTTCTACATGTCCAGGAGAACTGGATTTCAGTGGCAGCACTAACAACTACCACGCCCAGAAGCTAGACTCTGAGACTTTGCAAAATACCTACTTTTTCCCCTTTCAGTCCCTTGAGTCGAGATATTCCTTCACTTCCCGAGGACGTATTCTGGGAGGTGAAGGCAGAAATACAGGGCTTGGCTGGAAGGTAGGTTGAGCAAGGAGGCTTCCTGTCTCCGGAATATTGGATCCATGGATTCACTGCTGCTCCCACCTTCTGCAATCCCCTGGAACCCCCATCCCCTCCCACCCCATACACATACACACATCAAAACAGAAAAGTGGAGTAAGAGCCAAATATATTGATTTTTATTGAACTCACTGGACTCAAAGACAAAAAGAACAAATGGGATGTCAGTGGGGTAGAACAACAGCTGAAGGGAGGTCCCCACACACACACCCAAGCCGAGGAGGCTGTCCCTGAGAACTGCAGTAAGAGATCCCAGTAAGCTGGGTTCTAATTCTTCCTCTCCCCTAAAGATGCCCCTTAAAAGAAGCATAGGGGTTCACCAACCTGGGCACATAGCCCTTCTGTGCCCAGTTTCCAGGCTCTTTCTGACAAGGAAGCTAAGTTGGTTGGTCCAAGGCTTGGAGGAAAAGGGAAGCAAAATGACACAGTAGGGGAGTCTGGAGATAAGGGAAGACTAAGCGGGGGAGCTCAGAAATCCAAGCTGGGCATCCCAATGGGCAGAGGGAGATTCCTACAAGAGTCTGGAAGAGAAGGCTGCCCAAAGTAGAGCAAGGGATGAAGGGGTTTCTTTCTTTTGGAGAGGCTATTGTGCATTTGACTTAAGTCAGCGGCTTCTCACCCTGGACGCTGCTATACTGGTATCTCACGGGTTAGGCCCTAGTCCATGTGATGCCAGAACCATCTTGCCTGGAAAATGTCCCCAAATGCAGAAGGAAATGTTCAGGCTGACTGAAAACAGGGAGGATGGAAGGGTTTGGAGGACCCTGAGAAGCTGGTCCTCCTCATGCTCGGACCTTTCTTTCTTCTGGGGTAGTATGAGGAGGCTAGATGGAGACGCTGTTCTCGATGAGAGGAGGGTCCAGGTAGGTGTAGGGTAGTGCCAGGCTCTGGTTCCGCTCCTGGATATCCCTTGAGATGTGGGCTAGGCGGCTCTGGAAGGTAGCAATGCTCCGCCGGGGGGCTTCCTCAGTGAAGTGCTCATCCGGGTAGGTACCCAGTGGCCTCTAGGAGAAAATCCGGTGAGAGGCCAGGACGATATTCAGGATGGGATGGAGAATAATAAGGGGCCACTTGAGCTCACAAATATAGTTAAAGTGGCTTCCAAAAGCACAACCCACCTACAGCCATTGCAAGCACGAGCTCTTCAAACCGCATTCCCAAACCACCACTCCACGCAGCCTAACACAGAACAGCCTCCCAACAGTTGAAGCCCACACAGTGCAGGGGACAGAATGTGACTTGGGAGCCAGCCAACCTACATTCAGTGCTCCCTCTGCTGGTAACCCTCTGCCTGTTACTATGACTCTTTGAGACAGTCCACATTTGAAAGTGGGTGGGTTGAACTAGAAAACCTTTAAAGGTCCCTTCCATAGAGGAAAAATAAAAAATAAAATAAAGGTCCCTTCCAGCAACTAGCCCACTGCTCTATGAACTAAAAGAACACAACCACATTTCTCACACAACTGAGGTCAACATACCTTGGGTATATTTGCTGGAGGGCCAAGAATACACCTGTTACTCCACAATTTAACAAACATACCCAAGAATACACCTGTTACCTCACAATTTAAAAAAATTCAGCACCTGAAGACAAGTAGCATCCTGGTTCTGAGGCATCTTCACAACCAGCTGGCATAATGGAATTTTTGCCAACACAGTCACCATCACCATATACTGTCACACTTTACTGCATGGCCAACCACAATCAAGAAATATCACCATGAACCTCGTCAATACCATCCTGTGTACAGGACTGTCCTTTCCTCCATGATCACTTCACAAAACCAGTTCACCATGATGGAGCAGGGACCCAGCCACCTAACTAGCACATACTTCCCATCAAATACCTTCACACAATATTGCTGATAGTCTTAAAATTATTTTTCTTGTTTTATTGCATTGGCAAAGCCCTCCAGATCAGTGTTAAAAAGCAGCAGTAATAGTGGGCATTATAAATACATGGTATATATACACAATGGAATATTATGCAGCTATAAAGAAGGAAAAAATTATGGACTTTGCAGCAACTTGGATGGATTTAGAGTCCATCATACTCAGTGATCTATCACAGAAGCAAAGAACTGAGTACCACATAATGATCATAATACTACATGAAAGGGATTGGCAGTAATGGATCACTGCCAGGGGAGGAAGAGGGAGAGCACATAACACTAATAAGGGTACATGACACCAAATGAGGTGAAGTGAGGACCAATGGGAGGTCCAACTTATGTACCTAACCCTGAACTGTACCCCACATATTTAAAATAAAAATTAAAAAAAAACAGTGGGCATTATTTTCTTGTCTCTGACTTTAATGAGTAGACCTCTATTGTTTTGCCATAAATACAGTGTTTTCTGAAATATACTTTTTATCAAAACTCCTTAAGGGAGTTTCACTTTACACTGAGTTTTGACTAGTAATAGCTGCTCACACTTATCAAGTGCTTTTTCAGCATATATTGAGATAATGATATGGTATGCTTCTTTACTGATGTAATGAACTATATCACTAGATTTCATAAGTTGAACCAAACTTCCATTCCTTTCATTCTTAGAATAAACTAGACTTCGTCATGGCATATTATTGTTTTACTATTCACTATTGGCTTTCACTAACTGACATATTTTTAAGATTGTTGTAGCTAAATGGAATGAGTTTATAATTTAATTTTCTTAATAGCAGCTAACATGTAAGCATTTTGCATGAACCATCACAATCATACAACAATCTTTAAGACAGATACTCTTAACATTCCCACTTTACTGATGAGGAAACTGAGGCTTAAAGAAGATAAATTATGACTGGGTGTGGTGGTTCATGCCTGTAATTTTAGTACTTTGGGAGACTGAGGTGAGAGAAGAGAGAGAGCCCAGGGATTCTAGACCAGCCTGGGCACCTTGGTGCGAAATTGTCTCTACAACAAATCAAAAGATTAACTGGATGTGGTGGAGCACGCCTGTAGTTCCAGCTACTTGGAAGGCTGAGGTGGAAGGACTGCCTGAGCCCACCCCACCAGGTTGAGGCTGCCTTGATTGCATCATTGCACTCCAGCCTGGGCAACAGAGCAAGACTCCAACTCAAAAAAAAAAAAAAAGAAGCCAAATTACATATCCAAGGTCACACAGGTGGTAAGTGTGGATTAGAACCCTCTACATGAGACCCACTTTCCCTTTTTATTTTCTTCTTTGATTTATTGTAGAGATGAGGTCTCACCAAGTTGCCCAGGCTGGTCTCAAACCTGTGGGTACAGGCAATCCTCTCACCTTGGCCTCCCAAAGTGCTGGGATATTAGTTGTGAGCCACCCTGCTAGGCCCACTTCCCTTCTCTCTCTTTTTTTTTTTTTGAGTTGGAGTCTCACTCTGTTGACCAGACTGGAGTGCAGTGGCACACTCCAGCCACCGCAGCCTTGACCTGCTGGGCTCCAGCGATGCTTCTGCCTCAGCCTTCCAAATAGCCAGAACTACAGGTGTGCGCTACCATGCCCAGCTAATTTTTTTTTTATTTATTGTAGAGATGAGGGCTCACCAAGTTGCCCTGGCGGGTCTCAAAAATGGACTCAGGCAATCCACTCACCTCGGCCTCCCAAAGCGCTAGGATTACAGGCTGAGCCACCAAGCCCAGCCCCTACTTCCCTTCTTGAAAACACTACTGGGTAGTTGGGCAAGGTGGCTCGTGCCTATAATCCCAGCACTTTGGGAGGACAAGGTTGAGAGGATTGCCTGAGCCCACGGGTTTGAGACCAGCCTGGGTAACTTGGCAAAACCTCATCTCTACAATAAATCCAGAAAAATGAGTCAAGCATGGTGGCACATGCCTGTAGTTCCAGCTACTAGGAAGGCTGAGGCAGAAGGATCCCCTGAGCCCAGCAGGTAGAGGCTGCATTGGCCATGCCCAGCAGGTAGAGGCTGTGGTGGCCATGAGTGTACCACTGCCCTCCAGCCTGGGTGATGGAGTGAGACTCTGACCTACTGAGTGCTGCTATCAGGGTTCTGTAATCAAGTAAACTGATCCAGAAAATCATTCATAGAACTATAAGCATTATTTTCTTATAATTTAGAAAGCATTCTCTATATTTGTGACTGTATGCCATTCCCACTCCTTTTTTTTTTTGAGTTGGAGTCTTACTCAGTCGCCCAGACTGGAGTGCAGTAGCCGCTCCCAGCCACCGCAGCCTCGACCTGCTGGGCTCCAGCGATCCTTCCGCCTCAGCCTTCCAAGTAGCTGGAACTACAGGCGTGCACTACCACGCCTGGCTCATTTTGATTTACTGTAGAGATGAGGTCTCACCAAGTTGCCCAGGCGGGTCTCGAACCCGCGGGCTCAGGCAATCCACTCACCTCAGCCTCCCAAAGGTGTGGGATTACAGGCTGAGCCACCAAGCCTGGCTGCCATTCCCACTCCTAATGTTGTATATTTATATTCCCTCTCATTTCTTTTTTCTTCTCTTTCTTTTTTTTTTTTATTTTATTTTGGAGATGGGACTTGCTATATTGCCCAGACTGGAGTTCTATGGCCATTTACAGGTAAAATCACAGCTTACAGCAACCTTTAACTTCTGGCCTCCAGGGATCCAGCTGCCTCAGTCTCCCAAGTAGCTGGGACTATAGGCTCATATCACCTATAGTGTGACATTGGATGCCATTAGATGCCCAGCTTGACATCTAATTTCTAAAACTACAGTGTAACCATCAAAAAAACCAGAATGCACACGCACCTAAAAAAAAAAGAAAGAAAGAAAGAAAGAAAAAAGAAAAGAAAGAAAGATAAAAGGAAAGAAAAAGAAAGAAACCAGAACACAGAAATATGACAGACTGGTTTCAAAACCTATTTACTAGCTATATGATGCAAAACAAATTGCTTAATTTCTCTGAGCCTCAGTTTTCTCCCTTATAAAATGGAACTACCATTTATTGAACACTTATATGCCAGCACTGTCCTAAGAATTTTAAATATAGCTATGTATTTATTTTGTATTTTAAAATGGTGTACACAAAATATCTGATTTAATGGCTGAAACATGCTAGTTCCTCATAAGTGCCATTATGATTGTTGTTTCCAGATTAAGCTCTCACTGGCTGACAAGGAGAAAGTCCTCCATCCTCATCCTCTTCCCTACTCATCCCTCACCCCTCTGGGACCAGAAAGTGTCAGGACCCCAGGATAAGCTCCTGACATTCCCAGGATATAAGATGGTAAGTTAAAACTTGTGAGGAAGATAAAGCATCTGTAGTCTTTCTAACACCAAATGGAGTCAAGCATGAAAAACAAGGCTATCCACCTGTCAGAAAACTTGTGAGCACATGCATGCAATTTACTGATGGAGTAAATCCTCACATATACCCTACAACTCTAAAATAAAATGAAATCAAACAAATTCCAAATAAAATCATATTTTGATTTAAAAAATAAATAGAGAAAACTCATGAGTAAGATGAGTCAACTGGGGGGGTGACTGATAACTACCTCAATGTGGAAATGGAGATGACAGGAGCTGGTGACTGAAGAGCTACATGTCTAGCCTGAACTATGAAGTGTCTCCTCTCTGTCCTCCTCCCTCCAGAATCGCCCCTCCCACCCATCAGCACAGCACAGGAGCACCCTTACTAAAACAAATTTAACCACATCATTTCAGGCTTTAAACTCTTGAGTGGCTTCCCATTGTTCTCTGAACAAGGCCCTTCCTTCCTCTCTACCCTGCTAGTTCTACCTGGATTCACACCAGTGAACTCTTGCTTCACTCCTCATCCTGTCCTTCCCTCTGTCGAGAAACTAACCCTGTCTCTCCTTTGTCTGTCAAACTCCTACTTGTCTCACAGGTTTCAGCTTAGATGTCACATCCTCCAAGGAGCATTCTTGGGATCCCCCAGACCCAGTTAGATTCCGCTAGGGACTGTCCTTGGATGCTCTGTCCCTGGATGCTAAGCTCATGAGAACAAGGTTCATAGCTGCCCATAATAGTGTCTGGCACACCACGGGTGCTCAGAAAGTATATGTGTTGAATGGGGAAATTAATATATAAGTAATTCCTACAACACTGTGGTGCTCTTTCTCATTTGCCTGTATGTCTCCTCAACTAGACCAGAGGCTTCTTGAAGATAGAAAGGTCTCACTCAACTTCATGTTCCTGGTGCCCAGTACTATGCTGACACACGGGAGGTACTCAACAAATGTTCCCAGAGGTGAACATCACCTGTACCCAACAAATGCTTGTTGAATGTTTGGATAAATGCATGAGTAGTTGATGGATGGATGGATAGATGGGAAGAGCAGTATACTTGCGAACTGGATGGAAGTTGTTACCCAACCACTAAGCTGGTATTTGCTTCAATATATGTCTTTTGAGATCAACGATCGTTTCTTGAAAAAGCTGAAGAACTGAACACAGTTCAGCAGTGGGCATAAATCCCAGCAGTCGGTCCGCAACTGCCTGGAACAGCTGCCACCACCTCCACTGCCCAGGCCCTACAAAACCCTATCCCTTCAACCACCTCATCCCACTCCCCGCATCACACACCTGGTCCTTAGGCTCTTGGCTGACCAACCAAAAGAGGAGAAGATTGTTACAGGTGATGTTCACTTCCGGGAGCGTCTCCAGGTAACTCTTCAGGGTGGTGGTCCCCTTGGTCTGGGGTGGAGGCTGCCTCATGGATGACGGGGCATTGGGCATCCAGGACCCAAAGTCATGCTGTGGAGACCCCCGCCCTAGTTGGGTCAGCAGGCCAGAGAGGGAGGACCAGCTCTCCCTTTACACCATCCCTGATTCTACCCTACCATCCTAGGTCTTACAGTTGGAAAACAATGGGATCATGGAAAGGGAAGACAGGAAGGGGCAGAGGGTAAAAAGTCCCAAACGTGGGGCAGGAGGCCAGCTCACTCCTTGTCATTCCCCACCCTGTGTTCCAGGACTGGTGGTGTGAGTCACCAGGGAAGGAGGAGAACCTAATCCTAGGAAAAGGGCTGGCATGTCATGCAGAGCAACCTGCTACTCCACCAAGCCAGGTTCTAGCCATGACAGGAGCCCCTAGGTTCTACTCCCAACATAACATCAGCTTGAGTTGCCATTACAAACTTGGGCCCAGCTCCACCCAGCCATCATCCAGTGCCAACCCTTCACTCCACCCAGTTGTCACTCTAACCCCAAGCCTAACCATAAACCCACCCCATCCCTGACCCGCCCATGCTCTCAACCCAAACTCTGGCCTCAAGTCCATTGAGGCCCGATGTCCCCAGGCCTGCCCTCTGAAGCCTCACCTGACCACTGTTGACAGCAGCATGCTGGGCGGAACAGTTGAAGATGATTGCGGTGAGGAACTTCACCAGTTCTCCTGGGGTGCACAGCCGGCTTGGGAAGCCTGGGTGTGGGGAGGAAGGGAAGAGGGTGTGGATGGAAGGTACCAGATTCCTCAGGGTAGCTCAGGGCTGGGGCTTACCACAGGGGGAAAAGTGAGGGCATAAGGAACATCTGGCTACAACTATCTAAAGACTAAGATTAGGATGAGACTGATGTTAGGAATGGTCATTACCAAGGCTTGTGGTCTCTGAAGGGGGTCAGGGTAGGAGGTGGGGCCTGGCATCCAGCCAGAAAATGCCCGGCCAGAAAATCCGGCAGGGCCCATCATGGAGTCAGGTTCAAGCTGAGTACCAAGCTGCCTCTCTCTGACCTCCAAGATTCTTCTATCTGCAGCTCATATTAGTACTTAATGACTTCATTCTACTCAATTCACCAAGATTTGTTCAAGCACCCAGTAGCGGACCATCCTCTGCTGGGCTTATCAGCAGAGAAAGATGACCATGGAGTGTGTTACTGTGTTGCAGTGACAGAAACAGAAGGAAACATCTAAGGTCAGAGCTTGGCTCCTTGAAGAGAGAGTAGATAGGGCAGAAATGGGCACTAGGGCAAGAGAGGTTAGGGGAGCCTTCTTAGAAGATAAGAAGAGGCCTTCCTGAGTTGAAGGGTGGGTGAGACATGAATGGAAAGATGACACAGGAAGCATTTCAGGGCTGGAGGGAAAAGAGCTCCACGACTCAGCCCTCAGTGCTCTTCTATCTGTGCCTTACAGATCTCGTCCAAGTCCATAGCTTTAGCCACTTCCCACTCACTGACAACTGCCAAATTCACATCTCTGGCTGTACCTGGCTCCTGAACTCTAGACATAGCAGTGGGCATAAATCAGTTGCTTACCTGACATCTCCACCTGGGCATCTAAAAGACACCTCCGACTGAACATTTGCAAAACCAAATGCTTGACTCCCTATCCCATGCTCTCCAAAACCCCCTCCGTCCCACAGTGGTTCCATTTCACTTATCCATTTACACTTACATCTCCTCTTATCTCATCTCAAGCAAAGACTTCCAGAAGCCAGACTCTCCTCACCACCCATCCTCCACTACTGCCCAATCTCCATCATCTCTCTCCTGGATGAATTCTGTAGTTTCCACCCTTGTCTCTTACAGCCTGTTCTTCACATGACAGCCAGAGTGACCCCTTAAGGTCATAAGTCAAATTATGTCACCCTTCATTGAAACCCTCTAAGAGCTTTCCATCTCATTCACCTTACCAAAGCCCTACATGAGCTGACTCCATCCAGTTTCTCTGACTTCATTTCACTCCTGACTCGTCTCCCTCTTACTTACTTCACACCAGCACACTCAGACCTCAGGGCATTTGCACTATACTATACCTCTGCCTTCTACTCTTACCCCAGTTATCCACAGATCCAGTTCCCTCACTTCTTTTAGGTCTCTACTCAAGCATCAGTTCCTCAGAGAGGCCTCTCCTGACCACCTACCTGAAATAACACCCTACCTTGACATACTATATCCTCTGATGCTGTTTCGTTTTTCTTCTTCGCCTTCATAACCACTTGACATATTTGTTTGTCGATTTTCTGTATTTCCCCAAAAGAATGGCCAGCTCTATTAAGGCCACGATTTTGCTCTGTCTTGTTCACTGCTAAAGCCCAGCACCTAGAACAATACTTAAATATTAAGGCTGCGTACAGGGGCTCACGCCTGTAATCCCAACACTTTGGGAGGCCGAGGTGAGCAGATTGCTTGAGCCCAGGAGTTCAAAGACTAGCCTGGGCAACATAGCAAGAACTCATCTCTATGAAAAAAATTTAAAAATTAGCCAGGTGTGGTGTCCCAGCTACTCAGGAGGCTGAGGCAGAAGGACTGCCTGAGACAAAAGGAGGTCGAGGCTGTGGCAAGCCGTGAGTGTGCCACTGTACTCCAGCCTGAGTGACAGAGTGAGACCCTGACTCAATAAAAAAATAAACAACCAAACAAATAAAAAGTAGTAAGCCTGGGCATTATTGACTGAATGAAGCAAAGGCATGAGAGTGTAAGAAGCCAGAGTGGGAAGGCAAGGAGCATAAGCATGGTGAGGGGACAGGGAGGGGACCTAATCGGAGGTGAAGCTGCAGCAGTGCACAGGGTCATGTGGTTTCTGGGCAGTATTTCAGAAGGTTACCAGGTGGCAGCCTGCAGGCTTGGCAGGCAAGCTGCGAGAGGTGGGACTGGTTGAGAAGCAGTTGCCACAATGCAGGAGCACTGTGAGGAGAACTGGGGCTAGGGTGGTAACCATGAGAAATGATGAGGACAATAGGGATAAGCCACCCAACTGGATTTAGGAAGATAGAGAGGAGAACATGAGTCAAAGAGGGCTCAAGGATTGGAGTCAGGCTGACTGGGGAGAGGCTGGTACAACAGGACAGAAAGCTTGGGAGGAAGGACTGGGCCTCTGCCTGAGGATGTGCAGGAATTTTCTAAATCTCCTGTTCGCAGTTCACTGTCTAAACTTAGAAGCTGAGAATTTAAAAGTAAAAGAAAAGCAGGGGTCAGACTATCTATGGGAATTTTTCTATAGTTCATATTGTTTCCCCTTGTAATATGGAAGCTAAAGTCAAAGTGACTAAGGTTAGTGAGTCAAAGTGACTAAGGTTTAAATATTGTACATGAATCTAGAATAAGTTTGTACTGGTTGGAAGAGCTGTTGCCAATCCGAAGAATGAATGTTCTGATGTATTAAATCAGAGACAAGTTTAATGAAGCAAGATAAGAGACCTGAACCAACAGTAATAGATTCCCCTCTGGGTCTTTATTATTTTTAATTTTTGAGTTGGGGTCTCACTCTGTTGACCAGCCTGGAGTGCAGTGGCACGATCATGGCTCACTGAAGCCTAGACCTTCTGGGTTCTGGCGATCCTTCTGCCTCAGCCTCCTGAATAGCTGGGATTACAGACATGCACTATTAAACCTGGCTAATTGTTTTTGTTTGTTTGTTTGTTTTGTTTTGTTTTTTTGAGTTAGAGTCTTACTCTGTCACCCAGACTGGGGTGCAGTGGCCACTCACGGCCACCGCAGCCTCTACCTGTTGGGCTCCAGTGATCCTTCTGCCTCAGCCTTCCAAGTAGCTGGAACTACAGGCGCGCGCTACCATGCCCGGCTAATTTTTTGATTTGTTGTAGAGATGAGGTCTCGCCAGGTTGCCCAGGCGGGTCTCGAACCCGCAGGCTCAGGCAATCCACTCACCTCAGTCTCCCAAAGCATGGGATTACAGGCTGAACCACCAAGCCCGGTTTTGTTTTTTGTTTTTTTTTTAATTGGAGTCTCACTCCGTCACCCAGGCTAGAGTGCAGTGGCACACTCACGATCACCGCAGTTTTGACCTGCTGGGTTCAGGTGATTCTTCTGCCTCAGCCTTCCAAGTAGCTGGAACTACAGGCATGCGCCACCATGCCTGGCTAATTTTTTGATTTATTATAGGGATGAGGTCTCGCCAAGTTGCCCAGGATGGTCTCAGACCCCTGGGCTCAAGCAATCCTCTCACCTTGGCCTCCCAAAGTGCCCAGTCTGTTTTTTGGGGGTTTTTTGTTTGTTTGTTTTTTGGGGTTTTTTCGGTAGAGTCGAGGCCTCTCTATATTGCCCAGGCTGGTCTTGAATGCCTAGGCTCAAGTCTTTGGCCTCACAAAGTGCTGGGATTATAGTTATGAACCACTGTTCCCAGCCTCTCTTTGGGTCTTAAATAGGAAATAGACACCCCAAACATGAAACAACTGCTTGAGTATGGAGGTGTGGTCAGGACCAGGTCTGCTCGTGATTAACAGTAGGTTTGCAAAACACAGGAGTCATCCTTGAAAAAATCCAAATGAGATCTGGCTGTCACCACCTTAACCCAGAAATCACTCTTGGCATTACTAATAATGAGACAATTTGACATTATGTGTATCCCAATGTGATGCAATGCAGAGTATGCAGCATCACCTGAGAAATAATTCTTATCCAAAAATGTTTAACCATCAGATATTACTTCTGGTTTACAAAAAACACAGGAGATAGAGGAACAAGATGAATGGCATTATAAGGAAACAATTAGATAAATCCAGAAGGTGAGACACTCTGCCAAACAACTAGTTTGGGCTCGTCAATAAGTCTATATCATGTGAGGAGGAACTATTCTAAATTAAGAGAGAGGTTGGACACACAGGCTCATGGCTGGAATCCTACCACTTTGGGAGGCTGAGTTGGGAGGATTACTTGAGCTCAGGAGTTTGAGACCAGACTGGGCAACATAGCGAGAACTTATCTCTACAAAGAAAAAGTCAAAAAATGAGCCAAGTGTAGTGCCAGAGGCTGAGATGGAAGAATCACCTGATCCCAGATGGTGGAGGCTGCAGTAAGTTGTGATCATGTCACTGCACTCCAGCCTGAGCAACAGAGTGAGGCCTCAACTCAAAAAAAAAAAAAAAAACTAATTAAGAGAGACTTCAGAGTAAAAAGTAAAACAATGTACCACAACGTCCTTGATTGGCTCCTGAATCAAAAGGAGCAGCTGGGGGAAAACGGGTCAAGTGGGTAAATTTGAACATGGACTAAATATGAGGGTGACATTGGAGACTAGTGTCAGTTTTTATTCAGTGTGATGACAGTATTGTGGTTGTGTAGAAAAATGTCCATTTTTTTTTTTTTTTTTTGAGTTGGAGTCTCATTCTGTCACCCAGACTGGAGTGCAGTGGCCGCTCCCGGCCACCGCAGTCTCAACCTGCTGGGCTCCGGCGATCCTTCGCCTCAGCCTTCCAAGTAGCTGGAACGACAGGTGCGCGCTACCACGCCCCGGCTAATTTTTTTGATTTATTGTAGAGATGAGGTCTCGCCAAGTTGCCCAGGCAGGTCTCAAACCTGTGAGCTCAGGCAATCCACTCACCTCAGCCTCCCAAAGCACAGGATTACAGGCTGAGCCATTGAGCCCGGCTAAAAATGTCCATTTTTAAGATGTATATTGATTAAAGGTGAAATATGATGACTGTAATTTAAAGGCTTCAGCAGCCGGGCAAGGTGGCTCATGCCTGTAATTCCAGCACTTCGGGAGGCAGAAGCAAGAGGATTGCCTGAGTCCAGGGGTTCAAGACCAGGCTGGGCAACTTAGTGAGACCTCATCTCTACAATAAATCAAAAAAATTAGCCGGGCGTGGTGGTGTACGCCTGTAGTTCCAGCTACTTGGAAGGCTGACGCAGAAGGATCATCTGAGACCAGCAGGTCGAGACTTCCGTGGCTGTGAGCCACAAGGCTTCAGCAATGAACAAAAGCAACAGATTAATCACATATGGAAACATGTAGGCAATTGTTGAGCTGGTGGTGGGTAAACATGTGTTTGTTATACTGCATTCTCTATTTCCTATATGTTTGAAAAATTTTGTTTAAAAAGAAAAGAGTAGTCTCCTAGCCCATTACAGGTAGGGCTACAAATCATGTTATATGGAGGTGATCTGAAACCATCCTCCTCCCTGGGTCTCCTCAGGCAGGAACTCCTCTGGTTAGCCTCCAGAAGCACAGAGTCAGCTGAAAGTCACATCCCTATTGAGAGAAGTCCCAGGCCAAGACTGGGGGAACTGGAAGATGGACATTTGTGCCACTTTGAGCTTCTCCTTTTCCTCCACTACCTCTAGATATAGAGGCCTCTTCAACTTTTTTGAGTGCAAGAATGCAGACTGCAAAACACAGTGGCACTGGGTAAGAGGGCCATGAAGAGTAGCAATTGAGTACATAACCTGAGCAAGGCCAGATGTCATGAGACTGAGGGATGGCCTGTAGTTTTCATGAATTGGTCTTAAGGGTGACAATGAGACATCAAAAAGAAAAATCCTTTGGGGAATGGGGAATGGAGGGTTGGGGAATTTCCAAGTCTGGAAATCAGCTACAGAGGAGAAACAGAAGAAAGCCTAATTCTGTTAGGGTAGAAAGAGGAGTCAGAGATCCAGGACAAGTCAGGGGTTGGGAAGGGAGAAAGTTCGTACCTGGGAAGAAGGGGAGGGTCAGAAGGCCATCTCCTTCCTGCGCCTAAGGGAATCCTTTAAAGAAAGGATGGTGATCTGGGACATCTGTTTGGCATTGAAGCTAAGAAAAATAAGACCTAAGCGGGAGCCATTGCCATTGGTGGGTCTCAGAGACCTCTCAGGCTGTCTCAGGAGGGGAGAGTTAAGGTCAGGTGACAAGCATAAATGAGACATCAGGCAGCAGCAAGACCAACCAACTCCATGAAGAAGTTTGCAGCCAAACGAAGTGAAGAGAGGTTGGTAGCTGGCCACCTGGCAGGTCAGACATGAGAGGGTATGAGAGAAGATACCAGAATCCTCGGAAGCCAAAGGTGACTCCTACTGTGCGATGCGGTACATTGATAGAGTTCAGCAAGCTGAAGCAAATGGATCGGCTCATATAAAGAGGTCAAAGGACCAGAGAGGCACAGCGCAGTGGTCAAGGACTTGAGGGATAGTCGGAGCTGGCTCTGAATCCTGCTTCCTCCTCTGTGCCTATTTCCTTATCTGCTAATTGGTGATAATAGTATGTACTTCAAAGGCTGGTCAGTAAATAAGAACTGATTAATGGGTGGAAGGGGGCACAGGGTGAGTGCTGGATCATCAGAGCCTGCGGGGGAGGTGAGATGGAAGGGGATACCTGAGCTCTCCCGGCCCAGGAATGCCTGAGCAAAAATCTCGCCAACCCAGGCCTGCAGTTCCGAATCCTGCTGCACAGATGCATCACCAGGATAATAGTAGCCCACGATTTCTGAGACAAAGCTGCAGGAAAGAGATGTCAGTGTCACTGGAGCAACCTTGGGCTCAGGCCTGGCCAGTAAACCAGGGCCCACTGACTGGCGAGAGGCAGACAGCCAGAGTCCACTGAGAGTCCACAGAAGCTCAATAGGGACCCCCAAATCCAGTTGGAACCTGAGTGCCCAAACTTAAGTCCCACCCCCACTCCTGAGTCATGGGTGCTCTGTGCCTCCTTTCTGCACTGGGCCTGGGGAGAAAGTGCACTGAAGAAAGTCTGACTCATGCTACCTTCTCCCCCTCCCCAATCAGCACCCAGGAAGAAGGAAGACGTGCGCCGTCCTCTGGACACCCCCTTCTTCCCTTCCTCCACTACATTCACACACACTTCAGCCCCTCTCTGGACCACACCTACCTGCCATCTCACATGGGACCCCAAACCCTCAGAAATTCCCTGTGCTGCGGTGTGAGAACACCTGGAGTCTCAGCCTCAAGTACCCCATCCCGCATGAGCACAGGGTCCACAGCAGGACTGAAGGAGCTGCAAGGAAGGACCCGGCCCCCCACCTCTCGATGGCTGTCCAGATCCTCAGGCCGTCATCTCGGTAGTGGTAGTTGGGGATGGCTAGGACGCCGCGGGCCCGCAGGCTGTCCGGAAGGCAGAAATTGGTGTAGGTGAAGTGGGCCAGACCCGTGCTCATGAGGTAAAGGAGACCTTGCCTCCCGATGGACGTGACCTGAGGACACAGCACAGCTCGGCTCCCAGGCCGGCCCAACCCCCACCCCAGTGCCTGGGGAAGAGACAGGGCTAGTGACTCGGCCCGGGGAGGGGCTTGTTCTGTTAACCGAGCAGTCCGCCGACCAAGCACCCACGGGCCCTGCCTGACGTACCCTGCGCAGGTTGCGGCCCTGTTACGTGAATAGGAAATCATAAGGTGTTTGGTAACTAAAAGAATGAACTGAAAGCCGAGGATCCAGAGCCTGGCTGGACGCACGGTCAGCCGAGGGTGGTGCTGGGGTTGCCCAGTCTGTGGAACTGTGTGGCCTGAAGGGGTGCAGCCCGTGGGTGGGACCGGCGGGCGGGGAGGGGGCTTATGGGCGGGGTGAGCAGGAGACCGGCGGCGAGGGGCGGGCTTGTGGGAAGAGGCAGGCAGGGACTAGGACCAGGGCCTGGGCGCCGAGCGGGGCTTGCGGGCGAGACAAGGCGTCTCCAGGGGCGGAGCCTCAGGGGCGCGGCGGGGCGGCCGCACCTGGTCTACGAGGCCCTCGGGGTTGAGCAGCGTGGCCCTCGCGATGGTGTTCACCTGCAGCGTGTAGCGAGTGTGGGGAAGCAGGAGCTGCCGGCGGAGCAAGGCCTCGTGAGCCGAAGGTCGCGGAGAAGACAGCCCAGGCCCCGCCCCCTGAGGGCCCAGCCCGGCGTCGCACGGACCTTGTAGACGGGATGACAAAGCGGCAGCTGACGCAACGTGGCCAGGGCGAAGGCCTCGCACAGCAGATGCGTGCACAGAAAGTGCGTGTTGTTCTCGTGCACCAGGAACTCAGAGTTGCGCACCCACGTCTTGGCCAGCAGCCAGTCCCAATCGGAGTCAGTGGGCAGAAAGATGGGGGTATCGGGCCCGGGCATCTGGCTGAGCTGCATCCAAAAGAGGGTAGGACTCACTCTCGACTGGGTGTCCCGGAAGCCTCACCTCCCGAAGCCCCGCCCCAAGGCTCACCTGGATGGCCAAGGGCACCAGCGCCCCCTGGGGGTTGAGCCACAACAGGCAGAGCGGGGCGGCCACGTACTGCTGGCGGCCGTTTAGGCAATGGGTAGGAGCCTCCGCCAGGATCCAGTAGTCCGCTAGGAAGATATTCCCCCTCTGGAGAAGGCACACAACGTTTTAGAGTGCTCTCGCCGCTCACGCTCCTCTCGGTTCTCTGCCGGCTTCTACCCCAGGGAGGAGCTGAGGTCCCCAGTTCGGGCCTGAGAAATTGTTGGGTTCTCCACCCTTCCCAGAATGTCCGGAATGAGGTCCAGCTGAGTCCCCTGTGATTGTGCAACTTCCCACCTGCCTCTCGGTCTGCACAAGCCTGCATCCTCTCCGCCCCCCCGCGCCCCACTCCTGGTCCTTCCTACTCTCTCAAATCAGATGGAATCCCCTTTTGATATCTGACCTCTCTGTATCCAACAACAGCAAAATCAACACACAATGAGAATTAACCAACCACATCTTTAGCCTTCTGGAGAATGTCTGTGGGCTTGCCTGCCTCTGAGAGACTGAGTCTTTATCCACCCCTATACCCTTAGAGCCCCTAGTCCTCTGATTGTATCTGGTGGCATAAAACAGGCTTTCTCAGGCCTCAGCATCTGGGATCTTGGCAGACCCAGAACAGGGCAAGACCTCCTCCAAGCTGTCTCTGCGGTTGCCCTGCTCATTCACACTACTTCACCAGGCCCCATATCAGGCTTCAAAGCCTCCCATCCCCTATCAGGCCCTCATCCATATCTGCTCTACTTAAACAGTGCAGGTTCAAGGTTGCCCAGAGGATGAGGCCCTCAGGTGGCACACAGCCCAAGCCTTTCTCCCTTTCCTTCTACACACATCCCTTGTCCATAATGGCAACTCATCCACCTCCTGCCCATCAGGACAAGGTCTTCACCCACCTCTAGCTCTGTCTGCAGGCAGGTGCCCTGTCCCAGTACAGGGGCCACCATGTCACTGGTGACAGGCAGCTTGCTGGGCAAGCTGGAGAGGCAATGGAGCATGACAGGATTGACGCCATTCAGGTACTGATACCCGAAGAAGTGGTCCTCATGCCAGTGCTCCTTGACATAGTCTGGGGGATAAGAAAGGGGAACCATTGATTTTGAAACTGCTTCCCTAGATCCTGATTCTGCCAAACACTTTGTACATCATTATGGCTTAGGTTTTCCTCCCAGTAACCTATGAGGTAGGAATCATTATATCTTCAATTGACTACCAGATGCCGAGGGTCAGAGAGATGGAGTGACTTGCCCAGTTGAGTGGCAGAGGAGGGATTTGAACCTAAGCTTTTCTGGCCTCAAAGCCCAGAATGCTTGGTGGTAGGAACAGGGAAGAGAGTCATGTGTCACTAAACTCCCTTAATGACTGTAAGCCTCACCCAGCCAAGCAGAGTGTCTCTCTGTTCTCCCTCTCCTATTTTTGCCCCTTCTTCAGAGGAGGTATTTGGGTTCCCAAGGGGAATCTGAGGGATGTCACCAGTAAAACCAGGAGCCCCTCCCACTCAAATTCAGCAGGGAAGACTGGGAGAGGGACTTTTCCCAGAAAGGAGAGGAAGGGATCTGAGCATGGGTAAGGTAAAGGATAGACATTTCCTGACTAGTTCGGCACACCTGTGGTGAAAGTTTTGTGGCACAAGAAGATGTTCTGGAGGTCATCCAGTTTCTTCCAGGAGCCCTTGCGATCCAACAGTCCTCGAAATTTCATGCCCAAGGACCTGAGGAGGAGGAGAATGTGAGGATAGGGCCTGGGAGCTAAAGTCTGCTGGGGCCACTGTGTCCCCAGCCTGGAGGAACTGACAGGGTCAATCCCCAGAGTAGAGGTGCCTAACAGTCTCCATGGGAGAAGTGTTTGTAGCCTAGTGAGACCTTGGCTTAAATGCAACTATCCCTGGGAGAGGTAATCATGTGTGCATGAAAAGATGGTACACAGGCCCTATAGTACAGACAAGTCACACTCACTGATGTTTTGGCCTGCTTTTTCCAAACTTCTATCTTGTCATAGACCTTCACTGGTTTGGATCTGCCTACAAGACAAAGTCCCAGCTGCCAAGCCTGACTAGCCCATAAAGCTCCCCACCAGCTAGTTTCTACCAACATTTCCAGGTTTTTCTCCCACTCTGGGCACTAGGCAAGGCCAACCAAGACCTGCTCTTCAAACAAAATCAGATAGAAGGAGGACTGGCAAGTTGAGGAATGTGCACTCTTCACTTTGTAAATGTCTATAATGTTTAAATGTATAGTGAGCATGATTTTTTTTCTCTTTCTTTTTTTTCTTATTTAGATATATGGTCTTATTATATTGCCCAGCCTGGAGTGCAGTGGCTATTCACAAATGTGATTATAGCTCACTGCACCCTCCAGAGAAGCTTGGACTACAGTTGTGAGCCACTGTACCTGGCAACATTATTTTATAATAAGGGGGAAAAATGCTTCCAATTAAATAGGCTTTCACTTATTTCCGGGGCTTTGTTTAAATTGTGCCTCTCCTAGAAAGCCATGTCCAACTTCTCTACCTACTATAAAATCTATCTGTTCTTTTAGGTACAGCTCAGAAGCAAAATCTTTCATGAAGCATTGCCTGAACTACCCTCCAAAACACACCTTTCACAAAACACTCACCATTCCCTGCATTTCCTGTAAACATAGTAGCTATATATCACCCTCATTATGTTATGAGCTCCTTGGGGTGAGGATTCGGCCTTGACATACCTAACTCAAAATAAGCACTCACTAATGGGCTGAGTCAAAGGGAGGGAAATGGGACATAGAACAGATAGGTCTGTGGCAACTGGTCAATAGCATAAGAAGTGCAAAGATGCTGATGAAAAGTGTGGGCACCTGGGGAAGGCAGGGTGGCAAGGAGGACAATGTCACCTGTGCTCACTAAGCACTCGCTCACTCATTGCACAAACATTAGCTGAGAGCCTGCCTAATCAACACCCAGGAGATGAGAAGAACTGGGCAGAGGAGCCTGGGGGGAGAAGGGGACATGGGTAGGGGAAGGGGGGAGACAGGGGTGTAGGCAGAAGAGATATGGGGTAGAGAGTAGGGGTAGGGGGCAGGGAGAGGGGAGACTGAGGGACAGGGAGAAAGGGCAGTCTGGGGGTGGGGAGGGGGAGACTAGGGGACAGGGAGAGAGGGCTGTCTGGGAGCAAGGAGGGGGCACAGGTGGGCAGAGATGTAAGATGTGCATTAAAGGGACAAGGAAGCAGGGACCGTGAGTAGAATTAGGTGCAGAGGGCAGTGGCCTCACGCAGGGATGGCATTGAAGAGCAGCGAGGCAGTCTTGGTGGCTGAGTAGCGAATATTGGGCTCCATGTGCAGCAGGGATGGGATGTCAATTTTCATGGGGAAGCCAGGTAGGTACCGATTCCCACTGCTGGAGGTGTGGAAAGTAGAAAGACAGAAACTAGTCAGTGAACCTTGTCATCCACTCCCCATAGTTCCTTCCCTCTGATCCACCCTCAGAGACCCCAGGTCTCCCCTCACTCTTGCCTCCTCCCCGCCCTCTCTCTCCTGACCTAAAGAATGTTCTCACTCTTGTTGTCTCTGCCAGACCTCTCCGGGCCATGCCTGGTCCACTTTGCTGCTGACATCTGAATGAAACTGCGCTTGTTATAGGCCCTTACCCTTTCTTCCAGGCTTCTTGGCCCTCATCCTCTCAACAGACCCTCCACTTCACTCCCCTCCAACTCCTTCTCAAGCCTTGGTCTTCACCTGTCAGCCTGTTCTGCACAAGGTGCCGTCTTGGTCAAGGCAAATTTCTTGTCTGACTCCATTTCCTCAAAACTGCTGACATCCACCATGCGGGGGAAGCCAGGGGCATAGATCTTCCAGCTTCCAAGGGAAAGAGATCAGAGGTGACAGGTCAAGCTTGGGATAAATAGAAGTCTTATCTTTTAAAGACATGACTGCGGATTAAAACTCCAGAAACTGCCTACTTTCTGGATAGGTGACAAAGAATTGGAAATTTATCCGTGAAGATATTGGGTTTCAGATCAGGACAGCATTTGAGGATGCCATTAATGTCCACACTAGTTTGGAGATGGCTTTGTGTTGAGATTATTGTGTTGAGATGTCCGGGTCGCATGCAGTGTGGCTCATGCCTAAAATCCTAGTACTTTGGAAGGCCAAGGTGAGAGGATTGCCTGAGCCCACAAGTTCGAGACCAGCCTGGGCAATTTGGTGAGACCTCATCTCTACAATAAATCAAAAAATTAGCCAGGTGTGGTGGTGCACACCTATAGTCCCAGCTACTTGGAAGGCTGAGGCGGAAGGATCACTTGAGCTCAACAGGTCAAGGCTGCGGTGGCCATGAGTTTACCACTGCACTCCAACCTGGGTGACAGAGTGAGACTGTGACTCAAAAAAAAAAAAGATCATGACTGGTTTAGGGGTGAGGCCAAAAATGAACTGAGATTGGTGAATACTAGTGTCATTTCTGATTCTGGCCTCTAGGTTACATCAGGGACAGTTGGGAGTTGAGTATGGATTCATTGATGGTATTGGGACAATTGTTAATACTGATATTCTGGGTTTAGACTCAGGGTCACTATTAGAGTGGGGTTAGGTTTAAGTGGGAGTCCTGACTGGAGTTGACCCTAGGCTGAAACTAAGGTCAGAGTGAGTTACAATCTGATTAAGGCTGAGGTTAGAATAAAGAAGGGGAAAGAAGTCAAATTAGGCCAACCTCACCGGTAGCATTCCTGCCGGGCCTGGAGCTCCCGCATCCTGTGATCCAGGAGGAGGGGAAGGGAGTCCTGACAAATAGTTCTTGCTGTGGGGAATGAAAATTACTCTTGGTATAAGTCTTTTTACAAACAACACCTACAAACCTTGCCTAAACCCCCAACACTTGAGCCCAATCCCACAGTCGTGTCCATGTGAATCACATGGGGATACTCCTATGTTCTTTGTGTAATAAGCAGTAGAAGGGATTCAAGACAACCTCCCCAAAATTATCACAATCTGCCTAATATTTGCATGTTTATCTCCTTTCCAGACTATAAACTCCTTGAGGACAGAAATCATATTGTATTTATTTTTTTGTATTCTCAGCATCTAGCCTGGTCCCTGGCACCATGCACATAATATGCACTTGACAAATGACTGATTAATACAAATATTTTGTGAAGATGGGTGGGTGAGCCATGATAGTGGGTGGGGGATTGCAGTGAGATCTGTGAAGAAATCAATATGGGCCATAGGGTACAACGTTAACTCACCTGACCTTGACCTAGAATATCCATCTCTCATCCCTGAAACTCATCTCAACACTCAGAGCAGCCCTAGTGTTGTCTCTCCGGATCAGACAGTTTGGGAGACTGAAGGGGCTCAAGCCCAGTGTCTGTGAAAGGCCCCACACATTCAACAAAGGATCCTAACAGTACTTCACTGGGACTTCATCCACACTAGAAAAGCTAGTAGTAGGGGCAGGTCCTCTCCAGTGAAATTCTTGAAATATTCAGGGCTTCTCCACCCCTAACACTGTAGGTTAATTCTTCTCTGGGCTTCAGAGGAATTCACTCTGGGCATGGAGAGGGAGGCTGTGGGAAGCAAACTGCTTTCTCTCTCTCTCTCTCTCTCTGAGAGAGAGAGAGAGAGGAGTGCATATCCATGTGAGTGTGTGTGTCTATGTGTGTCTCCAGAGAGGTAAATACTGCCCAGAAAGCCCTTGCATTTCAGGGCTTGAGAGGCTCACTTTTTTCAGAAAGTATCTACTTGGGAGCCCAGAGTTTCTAACCCCAACCCTATTCCCTGCACCCTAGACCCTTCTGCAGTACAGAGCAGCCCTTGCTGCTGGCCCACCTGTTCCTGGCCTCAGCTCCAAGGTGCAGAAGCCTTCAATCCACTGATAGCAGGGGAAGTGGAAAACGCTGCCATCCGGGGCAGTCACACAGATGCGGCTGCAGTACCAGGAGTCCTTGCAGAAGAAAGCGAAGCGCTCCTTGTGTACACGCAGCAGCAAGAGCTCTCCCAGCTCCTCTGAGCAGCGCACCTTGTACTTCTGTACCTGAGGGGACCAAGGCAACAAGCAGGTAAGAGGCAGGGACCTGCCAAGACCGTCCTTGCACCTTGCACTCACCCCTCTTCAGGCAGGTAAACTCGAGCTGCTGCTGACCCAGACAGTGCCTTTGTATGAATTATCAAAGGCAGTCCTTCATCCAGGTAGAAGCAGGCACCTCACACGGTGTGTGAGCAGAGAAGGCACTGGATTTCACTAGCCTCCTTGGCCCCAGGGAACCCTTGTGTAGGCCACCAGCAAACATCCTGGGGGCTGGCAAAGGCAGGCAGATCAGCTCCAGAGAAGAGGAAACCCAGGTTCAGAGAGGGAAAGCAACTTACCCAAAGCCCACCGACAACTATGGGATGAACTAGGAAGCCAGCAGGTTTCCTGACTCCCTGCCCAGTGCTCCTTCCTCTCCACAGTCCTGCCTGGATAGTTTATCATCCCCAGAAAAGACAGAGACCTTGACAGGACGGTGACGAGATCAGGGCTGGCATCCTGAGTTCAGCAGAATTTGATAAGCCCAGGGGGAATGATCCTCCCTCCTTCGGCGTCCTCCACAGGCCCTGCCCCTCAAAGATTACGCTTCCCTCTCTCCATCGTACTCACCGATCCAGAGGCAAAGTCCCTGCCCACACGATCCAGCCGCTGCTTGGGGCTCTCACCACACGTGCCCACCAGTGTGACGGAGATGTTGTCCCGAGTGCCAGCCTTCAGATAGGAACCAGTGGTCACACACAAGCGGTACACTGCCATGATGAGAGGGAAGAAGGGACGCTCTCCGCAACGCTGACCGCAGCAGCAGCCGGCCTGGAGAGAAACAGTGGCAGGCCAGGCAAGGCTGGGCTTCTGGGCGGAGGGCAGGGTAGACCTCAGGAAGGGCTCAGTTCTCTCTGGGATCCACCTGGGCTCTTTCTCCCTCCCTGGAACTCTCCGCTGGCGGCTCGGGCTCCCTCTCCCCGCCCACAGCCTTGCACCCTAATACTTGTTTGCTTGCTTCTGACACAGCCGGTCTCTCTGGCTGGCTTACTCAGATGGATACCAGGAGCCTGCATCCCAATGAGGAGGGAGGGAGGGACCCTGATATGCTGATATGCAGACAGCGAGGAGGTGCCGCCCGTATGACTGGGACACGGCCCTCCGCTTGGTCAGGGGCCCCACTGATGCCCTGAGGCTCTTGTCCGCCCACTCCCCAACGTCCCCCAAGAGCCTTTCCTTCTCTCTCCCAGCCAGAGCTGAGCACAGGGCACCTGCATTCCTACATGTGAATCATCCATGCGAATCACTATACCAGGTGAGCTTCCCTCGGTCACAAATCCCACGTGACTACAGTTGCACGTAAGTGAGGCGCACACGCATTCCAGCCCGTGGCAGGCGCTCAGGACCGCTCACCCGTCGCCGGAACCCCCATTCCCCCACGCCTAGCCCTCTGTCCCCCCCTTCAGTCTCACGCCCGACTTCAGTCTCTCCCTTGAACAGGGCCGGTCAGGAAACGGAACCAAAGTCCGAGCCACAGCGTCTGAAAGCCCTACGCGGCATTCTTTCTTCTCAGGCCCGCCCTGGGCCACCGGGACGGTGGGCGGAAGCCCGGGCGCACGAGATGTCCGGGATCTGGGTCACAGGGGCTGGCGAGGACCTTCGCGGGGGAGGCCAGTAGCCCGCAGCGGCCCCGCGCGGCCTGTCCGCGCACTGCACGGTTCCAGCCTCGACGCTCCAGCCCCAGCGACCCAGCCTTGGCGGAGGCGCTAAGGAAAGGACGCAGTAAAAGAGCAATTAAAAGTTGGCAGGCTCCATCCGCTCACTTCTGGTCTATGCCAGAATCCTCCACACAATTCTCTCGGTTCTGCAAGCCTGGGCTTTCGTACCACATACATGGACTTATAGTCAGGGCCGCACGGTCGTCGAGAAGAGCCCGGATAGCTCAGTCGGTAGAGCATCAGACTTTTAATCTGAGGGTCCAGGGTTCAAGTCCCTGTTCGGGCGTGCGTTTTTGTTTACTCGTCTTTTTAATGTTGCACTCAATGGAAAACAGCACAAATAATTACTTGGCTTTAAAAGGAAGTACTAATAAGTGCTTTTCAGAAAGTAGAACAAATGACAGTGGAGGGTGAGTAAACATTTTAAAGCAGGATATATGCGAGCCATATTCGAATTTAAAATTTCTAAATAGCCACATTAGAACGAGTAAAAAGAAATGAAACCTGCGAAATTAATTTTAGTGATATAGTTTAGTTAACACAATATTTCAAGATCTTCTTTTAACATGTAATCAAAATGTTACAATTATTAATGAAATGTCTTTTTTTGGCACAACTTCCTCTAAATACGACGTGTACTTGGAAGCTGACAATACATTTCAGTTCATATTTCAGGTGCTCGATAGCGGTGTTCATTGTATCCAATAGAAAGTTTTATTTTGTCTTCATTTATAAATAAAGGATATGGAAGACACGCACAGTAGAAAGTCCAGTAAGGGACATAATTTGCAAACTCACGCAGGCGAGGGGTTCCATGGTGTAATGGTTAGCACTCTGGACTCTGAATCCAGCGATCCGAGTTCAAATCTCGGTGGAACCTTAAGTTTTTGACTTGCTAACCATAGTCCTATGACTCAAGAGGATTCCCCTCTCCCCCCCAAAAGCAAAGAAGGGCACTATTCATTGAGCCTTTCACACTGGGTAATTAGATCCTCTAGCACATCGTCAGGAGAACATACAGCAAGTCATTTAAATATATTGGAAGTTGCGATAATATTGAGAGGTAAAGTTACATTTGAAAAGATGTTAAAATAGAGATCAATTATGAAGAAGTGAAGGTTACTTCAGCAGTTTTTATCAGGTTTTTGCTTGGGGCAGGAACGCAGACGTAGTCTCTGCCTGGAAGACGGAAGACGGTGGCGAAACCACTACCCCGGGATCCACAAAAATAACACCGGCTGCTTAGACGAGGAAAACTCTGGCCTGGCAGCGGTGGGATTCGAACCCACGCCTCCGAAGAGACTGGAGCCTAAATCCAGCGCCTTAGACCGCTCGGCCACGCTACCTGCATGAGAGCCGCTTGTTCCCGTTGTCCTCCTAAGAGACTAAAAGAAAGGAATGAGGCAGATATAACAGTGTCAAATCGTCCAATCTCCTTTCCTACGTTTTTCAAACTAAGAATGAGGAACTATCAAGACTTCGGACCGCGTAGCAGACAGCAGAAGGATAAACCAGAAGAAACAGACACACCGAAATGTATAACAAAACGAGTTTATTTGGGTGGGGCCACGTCTGGGAATGGGGTGCGCCTGAGCTGGAAGCACCCCCAAGCGGGCAGCCGGGCCTCTGCACTCACGCCCTCGGTCGCTCATATTCGGCTGCTCTTCCTTCGTGTTTTCCACCCATGTGCGTCCTGACTCGGACCTGGCTAACATGCTTTGGGCCCGCTATCTGGCTGGCCTCGGAAAGCCAACCGCAAGTTCCTGCGCGCCCCGCCCAATCCCCTCACACACGCTCCCCCACCCCATCCCTTTCCCGCGCTAGTACCCGTAAGCCACAAGACGTCGCCGCTCGCCAGGTGGCTCTGTGGCGCAATGGATAGCGCATTGGACTTCTAGTGACGAATAAGCGATTCAAAGGTTGTGGGTTCGAATCCCACCAGAGTCGGTTTTATTTCAATTTTTCTTTCCTTTTCATCCGGCTTTTCCTCACAGGCTCCCCTCCCTTCTCCCCCTGCCCTATCTCTGGTTTTCCACCTGGTTTCAGTTCCAACCTCAGTCTCCGCTCTACTCTCTTCTTTACTTACCTGTCTGCCCCGGGGCTTGGGCCATGGAGAGCAGGACTGGGGGTGGGAGACAGAAGGGAAGGGAAAGTGGGCGTGGACGTCGAGATAAAGGCAGGCCCCTGGTTCGGGGACACACGGGGATTTAATAACCACTTTATTCCATGCACTAGGGACTGGGGAAGGGACCGGGACCGAGCCGGGGCAGAGAGAGAGTACAATCCTAGACGCAAGGGGGAAGAGGGGGCAGGGGAAAGGGACAGGAACCAGGGAAATATATATTTATATAGATACTCTCATATAGACCACATCTCACCCGCGCGCTGAGCCCGCGCGCCCCGCCGCCCTCCCCAACACCTCTCCCGGACGCCCGGTTCCCCCTGCTGCCCGCGGGCTGGAGTCTC